GCCAGCTAGCATCCCTTCTGCACTTCGAAGGCCCCTTACGCTGCATAAGCAAACAGTGAGGAAATTGAAAGCAAAATATGATGATGTTCGATTGGCAGATTTTGTGTGCGGCAATAGAGTCGGAATCAGAAGGCACTAAACTATTCCCTTCCAGCTCAGCGCACTGCCCCCTTCGATTTGTGCCAGCCTCAAATATTTGGCTTAGCCAGCTGGCCGAAATTAAAGGCTCATGCAAATGTCCTTATGCGCTCCAGTAAGCTATGCATTTGTCTAAGCCGATTTCAGGGGCACTGCACCGTGAACCGAAACAGACGAGCGATAACAAAGCCAGGAGTTGGAATGTGTATGGTTACTATCCATAATGGCACACGGGAAAAATAAGATCGTACATATCTTGGGGAGAACTTTTAATAACATTGTTATCAAATAATATTGTTAGCAATCAGGACTAACCCTAAGAAATTTTGTTCTCCACAAGACTCCCAAAAACTAACAAAAATAGGTTTTTATGTACTTTTACAATGTTTATTAAAAACATTAAAATTCACAAATGAAAATACAGTTTAGCTTATTGAAATTCATTTAATTCCCTATTTATTTGCTTTGAGAACATCAAGGTTATGCAATTCTGTATTTGTGTCAATATTATTTCTTCCAAGTGTGTGTGTTGTCAATAAAAACACTTTTGCATTTACACTTTTGTTGATTGAAAGGTAACTTTTGAATTTAAATTTAAAATTATATGTGAACGATTTTGTTTTTCAAGCCAAATAAAGGATAGGACTTTTAAAAAAAACTTAATTGAAATGAATAAAACCCATAATTTGTTTTCTGTGCGCCTCGTTCAGGACATCCTGATGACGATGATAATCACAAAAAATAACTCCAGCAAACATGGCCAACAATATACGAAAATCGCATTTAATTAATGCACGAACATTGCCGACATCACGGGGGTAACTCTTTTGTGCGGCGAGAATCAACTTCAGACATAACTCCAGGCAATTTCAGAGGAGCAGGGTGGCATGGTGGCATGATTGGGGGATCGGGGGACTGCAGGAGGACTCGCTGAAGAGCTGTCAAAGCGCTGCGGGACAAAATGGCTGCCGCTGTCTGCATTTGTATTAATGGCAGCCATGCGAGGATGGGGGTTTCAGGAGGATCCGGGGGTCCTTGCAAAGGTGCAGTATTTGACTGCCTTTGGCAGTTTCAAGTGCACGGGCATGTGTGCACAAACGAGGCTCTTCTCCGGTCTCAGCTCCTCCAATCCCCAAGCTTTTCCCCTGGCGACATCCTCAAAATCAGAGTGGAAAGCATTGCATTTATTTTGCAATTACTCTGCTCAGGCGTTAAGCCTTCAACTTCTCCTCAGAAACTCGAATATAATTCCGTCTAATCAACACTTTAAGTGAACTAAATTTGTTGTGAGCCAGAGAAATGTTCGCCAGGCGAGCAAAGTGCCTGCTGCTTTGCTGACCAATTAGTAACGTCTCCAGGAGAAATGAGAGCACAGCGAAATGTTGCACAGTAAAAAAAACTATTAAAGTGCTGTGTAAATTAGACACATTACACTTTTACGTTTTTCTATTTTTTTATTAGAACGAAATAAATAACTAAAGTATTATTTTAAGTGCATAATGGGTTCAGATCAAACTGAGAGGAATAAAATAAATAATTGAAATAAAAAAGTAGGAACCTCTCAAAAAATATGTAAATATGTATTATATACATAAAACAATATTAATTATCTCCATTTGGTTCCCGATTTCTTCAGAGATTAAAATACCTATTTTCAAGTCAGCTGAGAATCTCTCCGATAACTTGTTCATTTTACTTTTGGATTCCGACGTTCTAAGTCACTTATCTATAAATATTTCTCTGTGTGGAAAATAGAAAATGCAACGAACCAGAACAGACGCAAAAATGTCAAGTAGGGCGTTAGAAATTATAAATCAGGAGCAGGTCAGGTCGGAAGGTCGCGGAAAACGCCTCTGAAAACGATGGCAGCGATGGCATTGATGAATTTCGCCATGACAAGGCGGGCAATTAGCCGGGCGAAAGTGGCTATAATTAGGCAACAGGGCCAGCAGTGTCCGTGACCAGGCAGAAAGTGCCCAAACGAATGCCTAATGAGCCAGCTTCACCAGCTTCGAAAGGTGAAACAAAGTCGAAGCAAAAGTGGCAACTGAAGTCGCAAAAGTCAGAGTGCAACATCCAGCGTCATCGTCTGTTGCAACTCATCATTTGCCGGAGCGTTGGCGAAAATTTACATTCTTTTCTTTGACTTTCATTTTGCCTTTTCATCACCTTTCTTTGGCTTGACTTTCCAGCAGAATGCAAAACTGTGCGCCCATAAACTACTTTTTAGCCTGGCCATCTCGCTGCCGCCCTCCCTGTTGCCACTCCTGGTGTGTTGGTATCTTGGCAACTGGCCACCAACTGTGTCAACCAGTCAAACTAGTTTCAGTTGCTCCTCGTGGACCGCAAATGTTGATTGCTCTCCCAGCTGCAACAGCGGCGGCAATTGATTGAAAGAGCTCGCTCCTCTTTGGCTCTTTGGCTGTTTGGGTTTACCGTTTTTGCGGACTGGCTATACAAAAAATATTCGCTTATTCTCGCAATTTTCGCCATTTATGCCTTGAACCCTGGTCCGGGGTTTCCATCGCCACTCGACCGTATTTCCCTGGCCTAAGCCAAAAAATTCTGGCCCGAACCGAACTTGAAGGCCACTCGCAGCTGCGGTGAATGGAAAGGCAGCTAATTTTATCTGGCTCCCAATCCAAATCGAAATTCAAATCCTGTCCAATCGACACTGGTTTCGTGACGTTCACGCCCAAATGGAATAGCAACTATTTGCTAATATCTGCTGCTTATATAACCCGCTGTGGCCAGGAAAACTCGTTTTTCCTGGCAACACAAAACTTTTGTTAATTTCGCATTATTAATATGTTGTATTGCCAGAAAACTTTAATCAACTTTTCACTTGGTTTGTTGATTCGTTTGCGGGCAACGAAAGTTTGGGCCATAAAACCGAGCTGAAGCCACAAATGAAATGAAAATACTTTCTGTCATTTTGATTAGAAGTTCCGCAAGTTGAGAATTGCATGAAATGGTCGAATAAATTGTTTATTTAATGTCCGACTTGTTGCCTCTTTTGGAGCTTCGGGCACGTACAAAACTCCGGGCTTTTCGCACGTACAAGCAGCAGGAGCAACGGAAAAGGACCTGGATGATGCACATAAAGCTTAAAACCTCTTTAAAACGCAGCTCAGCCGTTGATGGTCCTTCTGGCTAAGCACTTGCGAATATTTCTGCAAAATTGCAGGAATATAAAACACATTTTCCACCCCACTCCCCACTTTCACCACAGACAATTTGATAGAGATTCCGTTCACTCAGAAACTCAAAAATAAATTCGGTCTCAATTTCAGTTTTTCCCGGTCAATTGCAAACATTTTCGCATTTGCCGCCACAAAAACCCCGCCGCAGAGAAGGGAAGGTCGACGGGCTTAGGCCACAAAAGCGAATTAAAACATTTGCCAACACAACCGGAGCAGTTTAATGCATTACGCTGGCTCTGAACGCAAACATTTACCATTTACCACCCGCTGTCAGTTTGATGACTTAACTGGAAGTCCCTCTGCTGGCCGCTTGGCTCCGCCAGTTGGCCCTACAATTAATCACATTTAATTTATCAATTGTTTGGACCGAAAGCAGAGAGATTAGGCGAAACAATAAAAGCGAATCTGTTGTAATTATTGGGGCAGTGCGACAACAAAGCGAACAATTGCTGTTAATTAATTGTATCGCGTTATGCAGGTAATAAATACAGAAGGCCAATAAAAACTTCAACAAATTTCATCAATATTAACGTATTTTCTGAAATTTGTTCTTTGGGAAAATCAAACAATGAACTTTTATTTTATCTGTTTTTATTTCGGGAGTTGAACTTTTTCGCAGTCATTTTGTTTTACCCATACATCTATTACAAACCTTTAAATAATTGACTAGTTTTGGGTAACCTTTTACATAATTTATAAAGGTTATTTGATAAAATTATTGTTTGGTCAAGATATGATTAATGCAAAATCAACTTAAAAGAGTTTAATCTCATTTTCTTAAAATCTCAGCAGTCAATTTGTGGAAGTTCAGTCCTTGGCACACACTTTCCAGTTCTCCAGGCCAAACTCATTCATTCAGCCGTGGTGGAATGTTCGGCGCTAACTGATCGGGCAAACAAAAACAGTTTCTCGGGTGTTTGGAGCTGGAAAAACGTGTGCTACATGTGGATGGGATGGGGTATGGGTACGGGTACGGGTACGGGATGCGATGGAGAGCCCCGACTTGATGGGAGTTTGGGTCCAGGTTCGACGGCGTCGATAGGCAGCGTTAACTGTTGTTCGAATTTGTCTGTGGTCAGTGACCCAGCCCAGGCGATGGAGACTGTTTCTGAGGCGGGGCCTAGCCGGCAAAACAAACATGTTTTAAGGCAAAAAGAAACATTAAGAGAGCCCCGGCAATCTGCTACACTTTGATGCGACTGGCGAGATAGAGGGAGTGTGCAGGGAACCCCGGAGAAAAGAAACACATTAACTTTGGTCAGTACATGAATACGAGCGCTCGTTAGCAGATGGAGGGGGGAGAGGGGGTCGGAAAAGCGGCCAACCCCTTGCGTGCCGAAAGCCATAAGCCCGAGAAGTGCGGAGAACGCACAGCGGAGTCTATAAACTATAATTTGAGAGTCAGTCTTGGCCGCGGATCGCAATTATCTTTTGCCGAACATGGAACACGATCAGCGAGTTCGCGGCTTCAGTCTTTTGTTTCTGACTCTCTGCAGATCGTCGCACCATTAGAAAGAATCCCCGAATGTGCGCCACCAGAAATTAATTCAAATATCCCGGAATGGCTGTAAATTATTCAGATATTTACTTAGAGTTTTTCGTGTGAAATGCCCGCTGAGTGGGGGCTCCCACAGAAATTATGATATTATATTAACTTACATTTCCTCAAGTTGATGCGATGCCAGGCCTGCAAGAAAAGAGAAAGAGAAAAAAGGGGAATTAATATAAAATTACACATTAACGTACGCATCGGAGGTAATCCTCAGAGGCGTTCGAAATAATTTCCGTGTAGCCCGCAAATAACGAAATTTCTGTGCGAGGAAAGTTGGGCATCTTTTGTAATAAGATCAGACGGAGAAAAAACTTTTGTTCTGATGGAAAGCCGTGGAAATTTAAGCTTTTTATTTAAGGATGCATTCCTTTCGCTTGTTCTCGGCCAGATTCGAGTTGGTAGTGTAGAATCTGCAATCCCCTCGCACGACGCACAAGCCACACATGTTATAGTATATCAAGCACTAATTAAGCAAGACCCAGACCCCCTGGAAACTTTTACTAAAACTGAAGCGAGAAGACGAGCTCCGAGAACAGCGGCAAAATTAAATTAAGCACTACTGTGGGAAAATGTCTTGAAGCGTAAAGCAATAAGAACATTTCCATGCTCCCCCCGAAAAAGTGGTTTCCACTAAGGAGACCGCAGAGTTGCGGGCAGAAGAGTGGGAGGAGGTAGGAGGTAGCCGAGCGTACAAGTTTTCCCAAAGCCCGGGGCCAGACATGTGTCAAGGTTATATGTACTCCTCCGACAATTAATGCGAAGCGATGGGAGGAAAACTCTTCGTTTAGCAAACTCTCTGCCACGACATGGGCGAACGATTCCGGGGGGAATATCTCAATAAAACCCGGAGGCGTGAGTGGAAAACGATGCCGGACAGGGAATGCCGGAATTTTTATTGCCTTAAGCTCACGGAGCACACACATGGCACAGGTTGAAGTGTAAATCACATTAAATCGGAGAATTTCCATGGTAGTCGGTAGCTGCTGCTGTTGGCCCGTTTATCAATTATCAGCATGGACCCATCGTCCTGCCGACTTGTCCAAGGATTCCGGCAACAAGGAGAATCGATTACACAAACAAGTTAAGGGAGGAAAAAAACGAATTTATTTTCCATCAATATTGCTTCTATGCCATGCCCAAAACGAAAAACCCTTTGGGCTTTTTGTCCTGACGGAATCGGAGAGGCTTGACCATTGGCAATTTAATTTTCCATGAAATGCGAAATGTTTCCTCAACTCTTTTGCCGTATTATGGCTTTGCATATTTGTATTTATAAGTTGCCGAAGCGTGTGTGTGCGTGGAAATTTTCATTTACAATTTCAATTCATTGCTTTATCCGCACACAAGGCCGCATGCCCACTCGCATAGCCCATAGTTGAAGGATCTGCCGAAAGAGTTATTTATGTTTACATTATAAATGAGTGCTGCGGCTGCCGTGGTGGCTGCCTTTGTTGTTATTGGCCAGAAGAGCGCTGGAAATGATTAAATATTTTTTATTTAATTTTACCTTCGCTGCACGCCAAAGTTTTATACCCTTGCGGAGGGTTTATAACCTCTTAGGGCCACCAACACTATTTAAGCTTATTTAATTAGTGCTTTTACGGATGATAATCTTGAGTGCCTTTTAAATGATGGCTTATTTTATGACCATCATCATACTAAATTCAGTGCAACTGTTTTGGATTAATGGCATTAATCACTTTGACCTACAGATCCCATAGTAATGACCAAAATATTAATTACCATTCGGTGCATGTGGCCTTTTATTAAAAGCATTTTATTTATTGAAATGGGGGAAAAACAATGTGTCATAAAATAATTTAAATTATTTCCACTCAAATTAATACAGCTTTAAAGTTATCATCATTTTTAAAGTAATCATGTAGTAAAACCAAAATGGAAAAGTTATCAAAAATAAAAGAAAGTGTGTCTTTTTCAGAAACTGTATTCTATTTTACTGTGAATTTTAAGAGGAATTCTATCACAGGTATACAGTGGAATGTTAATTAAATTTAAATTGAGTAAGGAACCCATAAGCCATAGACAGCTTTGATTAACTTGCTACAGTCTGACCCTTAACCCTCGACCATTACCCCCTCCATCAATACTTCTTGGGACCCTCGAACCCATTTGAGCGACGCCCACGTGACTGCCAGTTGATCCTGCAGTTTAGGACGAACATCACGTAGCCAGCCAAATGCTTTTCAAAATATTTTTACTAGGTCGCCGGTGCCATAAAATAAAACGAAATAAAATAAAATAAAACGCGCATTTTCCTCGACGTCTGAGACGTGACATAAATTAAATTTTGCGCCATTAATAGCAAATATTATGAGCAGATTCCAAGTGAAACTTGACGGAAACTGTAAAACTTGTAAGCTGGCAACTTTTAGCCGGGTAAAGTATTTCAATTTACAATGGGAAAGGGAGAAGTTAGATCCAAAGTTGGTCCAAGTTGAATTGGCGATTGTTGTCGACTCGATTGAACAGCAGACTGCATCTTCTCCTGCCTGAAGTTTTGTAATTTTAGAAGGCTAAGACTGAGCTATTTGGGTTGTTGTGAAATGCAAATCCGATAGAATTTGCTGGAAAATATGCAACGGTTTCAGATGTGCAATTGTCCAGGACCGAAATATTGTTTTCCCATTTAATCGCACCCCTAAGCCCCCTCTTATATTTTGACATGGCGAATGCAGTTGGAATTTATGTTTCATGCATATTTCTGGCATCATGCTTCATTGATTTCACCATGAATTTTTCACTAAGCTGCAAAGCTATGAAAATTGTTCGAGCGGGAATCACAAGCCCAATTCAAATTGCTGTGCAATCTGGATGGGAGGAAAGGAGCTCTCCTAAGTAGGCAACTCTTTAAGTGAGATGAACAGTACGAGGGGATCGTAAAGGGTTAGTGCTGCAGCAGGAGAACAATTGCAACACTATCTAAACAGACAACCCATTCAGCTCCCTTGGGCGTGCAGGATTTTAAGGGTTCCTGGCCAAGACTCCAACTCCTCTTGACCGAGTTGTTCTAACCAGAAAAATACAAAAAGCGAAAGCCCTCCTCCACATCTCGGGTTTATGGCTCTGTTCTATTTCATCAGCTCGGGCTTAGAGCTCCGGCAATTCCCATTTTCCCCATCTGACCCCAAATCCTCCGCCTTACCACCAGCTCGCATTTCGTAGTCCGCGCTCATAAACATTTTAGTGGCGGGCACGTTTCATTTTGCGCCGAAATGCGTGTAAATTGCTTTCGCTTTGCTTTAGCCGCTGCAAATGAAACTAAAAACGCTGACCGACTGTTGAATAGTTTGGACCAACATCCCGACCCCGTTTTCGGCACTCTCGGCCCCTTTTGAGCAACTTGGCAAATGGCAAATGTTTGCATACGCCATCGTGATGCCGAAAGGATAATGGAAATTTCTAAAAATTGTATCGCCCTGTCAGCCGCCCCTCACCGAAACAATTTTGTAATCGAAAAAGTTTGCCAGCCTTTTGGCCCAAAGCAAACAATTAGTTTAGGGTCTATGGGGAAAGCAGGGGGATGACGATGACTGGTATGCAGTTCAACTGCCAAATGTCAGATGCTTTTATTTATATCCCTTAATCGTTTGCTCATGTCACGAGCTCATTGGCTCTGCCACACTCGACTGAAGTCCGTCGAATTTGAAATTGCGACAGCTATGCACATGTTAGTGTGGCTACACCAAGCAAATATACAGAAGACTAGTGGAAAATAATGTTTTTATTTCTATTAAAAATAAAATGTTTATTATTTTGAACAATTCTATCATTATAAATATATATCTACAATATTCCTTATGGTAGATACATTGAAAGTCCGTTATAGGGGATGATCGGAAAATAAGTAAGACCGAAGTCAACCACTCAAATTATGCTTTGTTGTCCCACGCTCAGTCCAAGATTTCCTGTGATTACTCGACCGAAGGTTCCGCATTTCCTCCCCCACTAAAATCCGCATTATCTGCACACCCGCCCCGCCGCAAAACCATTAATAATGCTTAAAATTTAAGTCCTGGCAAATTGGTTTAGCCTGAGCCGCAAAAATATATTCCCACAGCCCGAAAAGGAAGCAAACTGAGTGCCGAAAATGTTTGTGTCGCAGTTAATTATAACGCTTAAGCTGGCATCCCAAAAATTTCTGACTGCTTTATGAAATCAAGGGGGTTCCTATATAAATGAGGCAATGGTTTTACCTGGCGGGCGTTAATAATTCACTTGTCGACCTGCTGTGAAAGTCAAAGAGGAAAACTAAACTGTGCTGACAGCAAATTTGCTTTTAGTTGGGCTGCGAAAAACTTCCACATGGTTAACTAATTAAAAGTTATTAGAACCTTCTACCCCCGCATTTGCCAGGGCAAATTTATTGAAATTTATTTCGTTTGTGCGACACGAAATTCACATTAAAATCGACTTTTATGCAGCACATCTCCCTACCAGGACATGACAAGCTCCTGCCAGCTAATGTGCCTCGTCGAGGCCCTAGTCCTGGTCAATTACCTCCACCTGATGTGGCCCAGGTCTGCTTTAATTAAACGAAATATTCGTTCTGTCCACAAGCAGTTATCGCTGCCCAGTGTGCTTGTGGGGCAATTTAAAATGGAAAAAGACGCACAAAGCAGGCCAAAAGGACCTTTTCCGACGGGGTGTGTGGGTTTGTCGGGGCCTAAAAGCAAATATTCATCTGGGGGCCGCATCGTGTTCCGCAATTTTTATTGGCATATTTACCGAAAATTAAATGGAGCGTAAAGCAATCTGCCCTAGCTTCCACTTCTCCTTCCTTTGCCCTTTTGGGTGATTTGCACACGCGGCGTATGCGTAATTTTTATGCCATTAAGGCAACGGGCACAAAGACGAATTACATTAATTGCTTAGGCATCCCCTATACAGCATGTGTACATGGAAAAGCTGCACTGGCTCCTCCCTCTGGAACGCATTCAGTTGTAAATTTTGTACTCGACGCCATTGTTGATTTTTACAGCATCTGCCTCGTTTTGATCTCTCCCACTTTTCATATTCCTTGATAATTGCTTTTTTTCGCTTTTCAGGACTCCCATTCTTTTTTCCCTTGTTTGCAATCAATTTGATTCTCCTGGGACTTGACCAGAAATTAATTA